CTTAGGAGCTGTCTTCTGAGCTCTTATCATAATAAGCAATATGCTATTAGGAAGTGATACATGCTAAGAAAAAACAGTTTGATTAGGGAGATTGAAAGTGCATGTTAGGGGTGAATTGCAATTCAAAATAGAATAATAAGAATGGGCCTCTTTGAGACTTTGACTTTTGAACAGACTTGAATAGTTAAGGGAAGAAGAGAAAGTCAAGCAGAGGCAACAGTGAGTGTGAAGGCCTTAAAGTCAGGGACAGGACTGATGTATTGAGGACAAGCAAGGAGGCTGGTGTGGCTGGAGACAGGGGAGAAAAGAGTAAGAGAGGAAGACAAATGGGTAATGGGGCCAGGTCACATAAGGCCTCCTAGGCCAACATAAGGACTGTAACTCTTAACTGTGAGCTTTTGAAGTTTTCAAGCATATTTTGAGTTCTTTTTTTAAAAAGAGCACTGTAGTTGCCCTACTGTGAATAGGGAGGTCAACTTTGGGAGATTTTTGGTCTAATCTATGCAAGACATAATGGTGTCTCAGATCAGTATGGCAGTGGAGGTAAAAAGATGCATCTGGTTTCTGGTGACATTTTGAAAATAGCTATCACAGGATTTCCAGGTGGCTTGGATGTAGGTGTAAGAAAAAGGAGATTCCCATATTTTTGGCCTAAACAACTGAGTGGACACATACCATTAATCAGGATGGTGTAAATGAAACAAATGTAGAGGGGAAGATTAGGAGTTGCATTGTGGACATACTAACCGCTGATACTTATTAGATATACACATGTAGACACTGAGAAGGCAATGGTATATGCAAGTGTGGATTTCAGCAGCAGGCAAAATTTGGGAGTTGTCATTATGTGGATGGTATTGCAAATTATGAGACTGGGTGAGAACACCAAGGGAATGAGGGTAGATGAGAAGAGAAGACAGAGGACTTTGGCCTGTGACCAGGGCACTCCTAAGGAAGTGGGCAGAAAAGGAGCCAGTAAGACAGGAGGGAAAATTTAGAGAGTGTCATGTCTTAGAAGTCAAGGGAAGGGGAAGAAAGAGACTGTGATAAGGAAGAGAGATTGAGCAACTAGTTGGATGCTTTTCACAGATCAAGTTGGATGATAACTAAAGGTGAATCATGGGTGCCAGCATTGTGGAGGTTATCGGCCACCCTCATGAGTTGTTCAGGTGATTATTTGATGAAAATCTGTTTTTTCATGGTAGATTAAAATTCCATATAAAATGGAGAAAATTTATTATTTCTTAGCATCATATCTCCAAAACTTGGCGTAGTCCCCAGCATGAAGAAAGGAAGAAATATATAGGTGCCAGTATCTCTCAGAAGGTGGAGAGCTGGGTGCAGAAGTTATGTAGCCAGAAACAGTGCCTCCGTCATTCATGTCCCTTTATTGGCTGGTGAATACGGTCTGCTGTTGGTACAGAGTGCAGGCACAGCAGCTTGCCCTGCCTGCATCATTGCCACTGAGCCGCTGCCAGCCCGAGTCCAGAGGCTTGAGGCAGCTGCTGCCTCCATCACTCACTGCCAGGATTGTCTCTGAATATTCACATCCCTGCTTCTTCTCCTTACAAGATTCTAATTCAAAGTAAATGATGTGTGTGTCTGACTTGGGCTGCTTGGATAATGTGTCTGGCCTTTAATTGCAAGAAAGGCTGGGAAAACAAGTTTGTGGCAATTTACCTGTGTTGCGGGAGGTAGACACTGCCTTAGAGCATGGAGTCCCCAGACATAGAAAGGAGATCCGATAGCACAAGAGAGAGTTATAGCTGTCCACAATAGGGCTGGAGAAATAGATTGTGCAGGTTACCCGTGAAAGGTGGGAGTTGAATCTGTGGGATTGGGGAAGGGCTGCACCTTGGCTGGTGGTGGGTGCAGGTAGTTTGCTGAGCAAGAGCTTCCTGCTTGCTGATGGAGCACGTGGGGCCAAAAATCCAACCCATGTTTCAGGGTGGGGTTACATATACCCATAGGGCTGCTTTTTTCAAACTTATGTGAAGTTACTCTGTGGGCTAGTAGAGGCCCTCAACTGGGGCTATAGAATTAGGAAGGGCTCCAAGGACAGGAACTTAGAAAATGTCTCTGTGGGTAGGACAGGGGAATGGGTAGGGGATAAGCATTTAGAGCTGGGATAATTCTTTAATGGAAACTCATTGAAAATTTTAAACACGTTGCTACCTTAACTCTCCCTATGGTTAAAAAAAAGGTCAGCTACTAGATGGGTTTCAGGAAGGATGTGAACTGACAACAGCTATTAGGTTTAGAAACAAGGGGGTCCTTTATTTGATGTTGTAGAAGGAGTGGTCCAGCAGAGAGGTGAAGATAGAAACTAGCTAATAAGTTATTCATTTATTCATTCATCTTTTCATCCAACAAAAGAGGAACAGATGTGGAGGAGAGATAATTTTTAATGATTGCTGACATGTCAGATGGTGTTTGAGGAATACAAAAGACAGTTTTTGCCCTTAAGGAGTTCACAGTCTGGTGTGTTAGAGAAGAAAATTATTGCAGTATAATGTAGTAAGTGTTAAAGGAGGGCCATGTAGCATGCTGTATGAGAAATAAGAGGACAGGCAAATAATTCAGCACAGGCGTAGGAAAAGGTTAAATTGTTCCCTCTTCAGCTAATTCTTGAAAGTTTGGTAGCCATTCCTTACTCCTTCATTCAACATTCATTCTTCAAATAGCTGTTAGGCACTCAGCAATGTACCAGCTTCTGTTCTAGGCACTTTGGGTTCGTCAGTGAGTGGAGTGAAGACCATGTTTCTTTAGAAAGGAAACAGTATGCATAAGAAACAAATATATATTATGTTAGAGGGTAAGTGGTATGGGAAAAAGAAAAAAAATAAGGTAAAGGGGAAAGGACACATGGGTTCTTTTTTGTCAGTTTTAAGTTTTAAAATAGAGTAATTTACACTGAGAACATTAAACACTGTTTTTTTTTGATGATAAGTTTCAAACCTGCACAGAAGTAGTGAGACTAGTATAACTAATCTCCATATGCTCATCACTCAGATACACCAGCCACCACAATTTTGTCACAGTAGTTTCACATATCCTTTTTTTTTTCTTTTACTTCTTTTCTTCACCAAAGATTTTAGATGAGTTCCTGGCACCATGTAATTTACCTCTGTGCACTTTAGTATGCATTTCTAAAACTTGGGCATTTTCTGGCGTAACTATAATGTGATTATCACAACTACTGACCCTAGTAATAAAAAAGAGGCATTCGAACTAAGACTTGAAGGAGATGAAGTCTTGCCCTGTGGGCTGTGGAAATGGCTGCAGGTAGCAGGAATAGCTGATGTGAATGAAGGCCCTGAGGATTGAGGAATGCCTGGAATATTTGAGGAACAACAAGGAGTCCAGTGTTGCTGAAGCATAGTGGATGAGGGAAGAGGGGAAGAGCTGAGGTGTGTCGGCTGCTCAAGGACTTGGGCTCTACTTTGAGTCAGATGGGAGCCACAGCAGGATTTTGAGCAGGGGAGTGCCAAGATCAAATTATGTTTATAAGGGTCACTGACTGCTGTGTTCAGAGTAGACTGCAGGAGCAAGATGAAGATTAGGGAACCTGTTTAGGAGGCTGCTGTTAGATTATAAGGTGTGTGTTTGTTGGTGGCTCCCTCCAGCAGTAGTCGTGGAAATGGGAGAAGTGCTTGAATTTTGGATGTGTTTTGAAGGTAGAGACTGGATTTCTTGATTGTGCTTGAAAGAGATGGAGGACTTTAAGAAGGCTCACAGATTTTTGACCTGAGGAATCCGAAGGATGGAGCAGGTTTGGGGGTATACCACCAAGAATTTAATTTTGGGCATGTAGGGTTTGAAATATCCATTAAAACATTTAAGTGTGATACCTAGTTGGACATTTAAGGCTGGAGTTAGGGAGAGAGATAGCAGAAAGGGTGGTGTGTCTTACTTGCACCATAGTATCAGCTGCTAGATTTGGCGGGAGGGTGTGGGTGTTCAGAAATTATTGGTGTTTAAACTGTTGACTGTTTATAATGTAGAAATTTCATCAGTTCATTAGGACTACTGATACTGCTTCAGAAGAGATAACTCAATGAAGTTAGCAGCTCTGTTTTCTGTTTCTCTCAAACCATTCTTCCTGGTCAGTCAGGAATGAATAAATTAGGCAAAAGGTATAATTACAGTATTATATATTCATTTTATTGTGAAACACTGTTCAGATCGAAAGTACTCATCTGTGTGTTCTCTGGGGTCACTAGGGAACTTTGGAAGTACTGATTGATTAACTCAGAGACATTCACAGAATATGACAAGAAAATTTCTGAGGTGGTCTGGTGACTGTACAGTGTTTCTCGAAGATCTGTGATAGGATAACCATTGCCTCCTTCCTTCCTGATCCTGAACCACTAAAATTTGAATTAAAAAAATTGCCATGTTTTCTCGACATTTTAAAACATGAATGTGTTCAACAGTCATACCTTCTTTTTCTTGCTACCTATCACATCACTGGAGAGAGATTTTCGTCATAGGTAGCCAGGTGGTTGTTACTCTGGGGGTGGATACTGTGGAAGGGATGTTGTCAATATAAATGCTTTCAGTAGCTTTGTGCAATGTAGGCTGGTTCTGACAGCTTTTATTTCTCCTTTTAAAAGGGGAATATTTTTAATTCCCTTTTGGGATTGTTTGTTACTCTGATTATATGTCTTAGAATCATGTGGAAGGTTGATACACCAACTTGGGGATGTGCTGTAGTTTCAACTCTTGTAGTAGCTGGGGTCTGTGTGACTAATTTAAAGTAACTAGGTGTCCTGGAATGGGGATCCTTCTGTCCCTGCATGTTTGACCCTTATGCCTCCTTAGCCTGAATGCAGTCCATGGGTTCCCTGATGGGGAGGCAGAAAAAGGCCAGAGTGTCTTACAAGGCTGGGGTAATCATCTTAGGCACACAACTACTCCCTCTCTTTTCCCCTTTAGTCCCCTTTTAAAAGGGAGCAAAAAGGAGGATGCTTACTCTCTTTTTTGCTTCTTTTGTATAGGAGATGCATCGGAGATTTGAGAATGCCCCTGATTCTGCCAAAACAAAAGCTCTGCAAACTGTTATTGAAATGAAGGTAAGTGTGACTCTAATAAGGAATCATGCGAATCAGATTGCACATTCAAGTGATCACACATTTCCTTGAGTGAGTTTTAGAAAGTGGTATGTAATAATATTTTACTAATTTGGTTGTTTGAGAAGAAATGGTAAGACTTAATGAAAATGCCACCTTAAAAGGATTTCAGTTTCATTTGCTGTTAGTTGTAGACCATTGCTCAAATGGGACCAAAAAGGGTTGTCCAGAGTTTCTTTTAAATCAGCTATTCTCAAACTTTTTGCACTCAGGACTCTGTTATTCTCTTAAAATGACAGGCTCATATCATTTATTTTAAAGAAAATATCTGCTTAGTATGAAGTCTGAGTAATCACAGTTTGTCAGTTGTTCTTTCGAGTAAAACTGGTGCTCCATGAAAATGGTCCCTAATTTACCTTGTAGCCCCAAGAAGCACACCAGCGCTCTTCCTAGGGATGCTCTGTGCTTCAGTTTGCTGTGGAAGTGCTGGCTCATCAGAAGGATGTGTACTCAAGGGTTGACATTTATTAAAAGTAATTTTTACTGCTTCACCAAGGATATTCTTAAGTAGTGTTTAAAATTTTTTATTTCTAATTTTCTCTTGTTTTTTTCTTTGGGCACCTGACACTGAAGAATGTAGTGGCTGCTGGTGTGGTTTGGTGCTATTGCCTGTTGTGCTGAGGCTCCGGCAGTTTTTTCTGTCATTGCTTTTATACCTTTAGTGCAAATATTAACACAGTGGAAAAGGCAAAGAAAATCATGGTGGTATTATGAAAATTATTTGACTGTGCAGACTTCTCCAAAGAGTTTTGGGGGGAGACCCCCCCAGGGTTCCACAGACCATACTTTGGAAACTTCTGCTTTAAGTAAATGAATAGTTAGAAATCGTTAGGGTAGATGGTATGGTGATTAATAGCTTGCTTGGGAGGTAAATTCCCTTGATTCAGAATTTGGCTTTATTTAATAAATTGTCTGACATAGGAGCAATTTACCTAACCTTTTATGCTTTAATTCCTTAATTGACAAATGACAGTAATAAATAGTGCCTATTCAGTGTATTTTTCTGTTCTAAATTAGCTAAAACACTTTGGACAGGAACAGGCACATGGTATATATTCAGCCAGTGTTAGCTGCTGCTGTTATAATTTTTGTTAATAACATGTTTATATAAATAGATGCTTCTCAAATACAGTTTTGAGAACTGTTCTGTGAATTTGGATAATTTTCTCTTAAAACTTTATGATGTGTGTATCTTTATTCTCAATAGGGAAAGGATTTACCAAGCAAATTCCAAATTAGTGGGTTCTGGGTTCTTTGTAGTTAGGCAATTAGGAGTCTTGAACATAATCTTGTAAAGAGCCTTTAGAAAGACTTAATTGTATGTTCACATTTCTCACAAGTTTATTTGCACATGTTATTTTCTGATCTCTGTTGAAACCTAAGAATAAAACACATGAATGTACTTAGGTTCACAAAATTTATTTTACTTGCCTTTTGACAGAATGGGGAAGTGTAATAATATTACTTGGCAGTGAGTTTATTTCAGATTATGTTAATCTTCAGTCATTTTGCTAAGAAGGAAGAGATTCTGAGATTCTGGTGGCCCAGTGGGTCAGGGGGTTATCACTCCAAAGTCACACCTGAAGAGGTTGAGTTGCTAAAGGGTGTGGCATGATCTTGAGAGGATAATGAAGATCTAGAATAGTGTTTGGGGTAAATGGGGGAGGAAGATGAATGATAGACAACAAAAGCTCAGCAGTCTTTAAGGTGATGTGATTTTCTTTCTGTCTTATCCTCCTCCTTTCTCCTTTTTCCTCCTCTTCCCTTCACCTTCTTTTCCAGCCTTCTTCCCTCCTTCAATCTTTTCCCTCTGTGCCCCTCTTCCTCCTCTGCTTCTTCCCTTTTTCTCCTTTTCCTTTAAAAATTTTTCCTCTAATAGTGGAGGAACAGGCAGGAATTACTGATTTACTGTAGGGTTAGAATTTTGCTGGTAGATACAGCAGAAGTACTGAGATGCAAATGAATTGAGTGTGATGGTGAAAGAATAGTTTGGATGATAAGTCCAGGATTGTAGCCTGGATAGGCAGGAGGAGAATTTAGAATGGACTGACAGGTTGGCAGAAAATATAACAGTTGGGGAAGTAGATATCTCTGTGAGATTAAAGACCAGCAAATGAGAGTGACAGTGTGATGGGCCAGGACAGAGCTGTTGGCAAGGATAGGATCCACATGGAGTCCTATAAAATAGATAGTTGAAATGGATGGGATGCATGAGGCCATGGGAATTAAAGACATCAAGGAATTCAGACATTGAATCCTAGGATTATGGCAGGAGTGGCATTTGATGGGAAGATTGATTGTGAGCCAAAGCCTTCTTAAAATGAATGGGCAAGACTGACTGGGAGTCCCTAAAAGGGAGCAGTGAGGAGGGTAGAGTGAAAAGGAGTATGTGCTTCACATGAAGGGGACAGCACTGAAGGGCAGGAGATTGCTCACGCTTTCCCTGCTCCTCTGTTGTGCTGGGGCATTAATGACCTTCAATGGAGAGTGATCAGGGAAAGTATATCCTTTGGGAAAGCCAGCTTTTACTTGGGTGTAGGGAGACACCTGTTGACAAAAGTTGAGGATTTGTGAAATTTAACAAGAAATAGAGGATTTCAGTAGGATCAGTGGAATTGGTTAATGGGACACCCAGGGCTGGGAAAGTATATAATAGTAAGATATAAGGAATTTACTTACTTAGTTATACATTCTAGAGAGTAAGAAACCTGGCTTGAAGGACTATCCTCAAATAAGCCCAGTTTGGGTACTGAGTGAGTTGGTACTAGAACTCGTTGAGCATACCAGAATTTTCTGGCCTGATTTTGGAATAGCCTGGCAGGGTCTTTTCTGGGCAGTGCCTACCTTGTGGCTTTGACAGCTGCAGTATGGTCCCTTTTGCAGAGAAGTTTTCATGGTGCTCATTCAGTCAGAGCTGCCATTGTATCTGTGCTGGGGATCAGGGAGAAGTCAGATGATGTTCCTGTAGGGGCTTTGTAGAGATAGAGCTGTCTGACCTGCAGAGCTTGAGGCCCTTTGTCTTGAGTAGAGTCCCAGTGGTGCTAGAAATATACCTCTTCCTGCTGGTCCCCTTTCATTACCACCCAGGATAAATCAGAGGTGAACCACGTTCATTCTTTCACTGCAGGTTAGTCACATTCGTATGCCTAGTATTTTAGTCATTCTTGAGGGACTACATCCTGAAATTACCAGGTAGACTTATAGTAATCTTAAAAGTAAATTTTCACATAGTGCCATTGAAGTATAGTTGACCCTTGAACAACATGAGTGAACTGCAGAGGTCCACATAAAAGTAGATTTCTTTCAAAAAATATGTTGGAAAATTATTTGGAGATTTGTGACAATTCAAAAAAGAAACATTTTCTTTTCTCTAGCTTACTTTATTCTAAGAATATAATATATAATACATATACAAAGCGTGTGTTAATTGACTGTTTTGTTATGGGTAAGGCTGTTAGTCAACAGTAGGCTTTAGGAGTTAAGTTTTTGGGGAGTCAAAAGTTATATGTGGGGGTGGGATTAAAGATGGCATGCGAGGTGAGACACAAACCTCCCCCCAAAACCACATATAATATGAAAATACAGCAAATACATCAAATTCTGAAAGAGCAACAGGAAAGAAGGCTGTGGCAGACTGTCTACACCTGGGGAAACCAGCAGACCTCAAGGAAAAGGGTAAAATACGAATGCCATGATCCGGCGGGACCCAAGCCTTTCCCCATACCAGCTCATTGGAGGGAGGAAGAGAAACGGAGCAGCAGGGAGGGGGTGGAGGCCTAGGACTGCTGAACACCCAGCCCTGGAGATCTGTTCTGGGAGGATGAACCTACATTACATGGTGCTCTGGAGATTAGTGGGGTTGGAAAGCTATGACAGGCTTTTATTCTCTAAGAATACTTTGGAGAGTCTGAGATTCTAGCCACTTTTGGAAAAAAGAGATCCACATCTGGCTGCTCTGGGACAAAAAGAAAGGCAGGCAGTCTGAGAGACTTCCTAACAGCGAGAGGGCCACTAAGGGGCAAGGATTGCACAGAGCTTGCTGCTCAGGAAAAGGACAAGTGGACAAAATTTTCCGGGAGCACTCTGTCAAGCACGTTGGTAACTTTCAGGAGCTTCAGGCACTCTATCTGCACTGGCTGGCTACAGAGCTCCGAGGAACCCCACTGCAATATGAAGTCTGTTGCACTTGCCTCCCAGCAAGCACCGGCTGTCCCTGCATTGCACAAGGCCAGCCAGAGGGCGGCTCTGCTTATGGCAGCGACATATGCAAAGCGTAGAAGCTTCTCCCTGTGCACTTGGCCCACTGGCCCAGGCAGTGGAGACAGGCACTGAAGCTGGAAAGCAGGAAAGGCCTTTTCCTCCAGACAGGTACCAGTGCTGCTTGCCTGTGACCCCTGCCATTACTCCAGAGGTTGAGCAGCTACAGAGAGTAGAGTTTCTGAGCACTAGAGGTTGCCACTTATAAATATGAAATGTCAAAGGAGCCTGGTTCAAACCAAAATCCCACAAACACCAGAAAGAGGGCCAGAGTGAAACTTCATGAATCAATGATTTCAAAATAAAAATCATCAACATGCTCACGAAGCTACAGAAAAATATTCAAAAACTCAGGGAGGAATTTAAGAATGAGATACAAATGTTGAATACAGTATGTGAAATGAAACATACAATGGAGGGATTTAAAAGCAGATTAGATGAAGTAGAGGAGACAGGAAATGACAGAAATTAGAGAATACAAAGAAGCAGAGGCACAGAGAGAAAAAACGATTTTCAAGAATGAAAGAATATTGAGAGAACTGTGAGACCAATCCAAACAAAACAACATTCACACTATTGGTATATCAGAAGAAGAAGAGAGAGAAAAATGGATAGAAAATGTCTTTGATGAGGTAATTGCTGAGAACTTCCCCAATATAGGGAAAGAGGTAGCCTCTCAGGCCATG